AGTTGGAAAATATACCATACATGATTTCAATTATCTTAAATTTAGTAACGTGTGTATTATGGCACTGCATATGATGTATCTTGGAATATATTTCACGGATGCTTAAAAAGTGTGTTCTGCTGATGGTGGTGGTGTTTTCTATAATTACTGGAGCCTGTTTATGATGATGTTGATGTTATTGTATATCCTGTTTTCCTGTGTAGTTGTTTAACAATTATTGAGGAGAGGTATGGAAGTCTACAACTATAATTTGAATTTTTTTTTTATTTATACAAGAGCCGGGGTACAGGCCAGATGCGTGTGAGGGTGAGAGGATTCACCAGAGACAGAGTGAGGAACAGAACAGGCAGAAAGACTGAAATACACTGCAGAGGGGAGCAGTGGGCGAGACAGGAGAGGTCTGCTAGCCATATGGGTTGCTCCGAGGCTGGCAGGACCGAACCAGTGCTGCAGAGCAGCTTCACAGTGCTGTGCTAAACTGCCTGTGCCCCAATAATTTGAATTTTTAATAATTACTCCTTTCAGTTGTATTGGTTCCTCCCCCCCCAAACATATTTTGCTGCCCTCTCTTTGGTTAATACACTTTGAAGGCAGATTGACTTCCTTTACAATTTCCTTTCTGGTAATTTTCTTTGCTCTGAAGTCTACTCTGTTATCAGACAGCTATTCCTCCTTTCCTATGAATAATGTTGCATGATATGCCTTTTCAATCCATTTACTATTAACCTGCCCATATTGGTGAGTTTCTTGTAGACAGTGTGTGAATGGGTTATATTTTTAAGTCTGTTCTGTCAACATTTTCAATTACTGGTAGATTTAGACTATTTACATTTAAAATAACTACGAATATTTTAAGACTCAAGTGTACCTTTTTAATGCCTTCATCAAGACAGTGTTTAGAAACTCATGAAGTTTATTCACAGATTGAGATTTTTATAGGCTTTAGATGATATGTACTGCTTGGAAGTAATAGTTAAGACAGAGTAAGAGAATACCAATAATAAAACCTTTTAGATAAGGTATCATTTATGGATTGGGAGGGAAGTTTATTCCACTGTAGCTGTGTTTCAATATTGTTAAATGTGCACAGAGGTGGAGGAAATGTCTCTTTAGAAGTTAAATAATTTACTGTTCATGTTTATGAGCATTTTTTTATGTGCAAGTCATTATGTTAGGCAAAGGGGAATACAATAATGAACAAGATTATTAAGTGAAGATTAAATAATGAATAAGGCTAGTAAATGTAAAATGCAAGAATTGTAAAAGTTTAATTTTATATACTTTATTAGTACCCTAGTTTGCAAGCATACTAGTAGTACTAGTTTGCAAGTGCTGCCGTAACAAACTACCATGGACTGGGTGGCTTCAACAACAGAAATTTATTTTCTCACAGTTCAGGAGGCTAAAAGTCTGAGGTTAAGGTGTTGACAAGTTTAGTTTCTTCTGTTGAGGCCTCTCTCCTTGGCTTGTAGATGACTGTTTTCCCCTTGTGTCTTCACATGGTCTTCCCTCTGTACATATCTGTGTCCTAAGTTCCTCTTACAGACAGTCCCACTGGATCATGGTCCACTCTAATGATCTCACTACAATATAATTACTGCTTTAGAAACCCTAACTTCAAATATAGTCACATTCTCTGAGTTTTGAGGTAACATAATTCAGTCCATTACATATTTTAATATTTGAAATATATATTAATATAAATATATTATATTTTCCACATTTTCCGTACTAAATACCATTGAGAACAACATTTTACGTATGCTTGTATGGTTGTAGGCATGTGGAGATGTTTCTCTATATATTGTATAAATATATATAAGTAAACACACATTGAAATGACTTACTAAATATTAATTAGTTTGAAACACATACATTAATATTAGTTTTCTATTTGCAAACAAAATCAACTATTACAAATTTATTTTTTAGTTAATAGTAACTTCCTGAACAAATGATATTCCGTAAAAGATAATACTAATTAGATTTCAATGCAGGTAAAATTCCAAGTCAAAATCTTTTTTTAGAAATTTCATTTGTTAAAATATTTTCACTATTTAAATATATTGTTGAAATTATGTTTGCACCATGTACATGAAATATATCAACATTTTCTGTGTAAGTAGATGTAAATTGACTTTTTTGCCATAATAAAATAAATTAAAATTTTTAAGACAAAGTATGACATCTTGCTGTGTATTTAGGGAACACACTTCATGTATAGAAAATAAGTGACCTACTCACTCTGTGAGTCAAGAATAGTGTTTAAAGTTTTTTGAAAAATAATAGTCTAAATGATATGTTAAACCTAGCAAGTAAAATTCCTACAAATGAGTATATTATCCTATAACATGTACCATACCCACAGATATGTCTGTATATTTTACTTATCACAGCTAGCCATGGAATAAACCTCAATGAAAATAGGATAAATGAAGTATGAAATTTTAATTGGCAAGTGTTTGCAATTCTCAACTATGTTCTTTTTCAGATTAAACCATGTAAGGATCCTGCTTTTATAGATTAAAAATTGAATGTTGGCAACTTTATAATAATTCAATCTATCAAAACACAGATATTCTTCATTGTTTCTCCTTATTTGTCAAAAAGTGATACAGGAATTTGTTTACAAGGGAATAGTGTTTGACTTTATACTTCCTTCCAGTAAAGTTCCTAGAATGAGAAATTTGTGTTTTGTAGCTGGAAGGGACTTTGCAACTCACCCATTTTACTTTCCTAATTTTAAAGAAGGGGAAATTGTAAGATAATTTATCTTTAGGGAACTTCAAGTCTATGGAAGATAAGTATTCTAGGTAGACATTTCTTCTCTGGTTATAACCAGTATATAATAACTTGTAATAATCAGCATATTTAAGTTAGGGGTAAAGTTAGGATTAGGGTTATTTCTTGATCGCTAGAAAGAAAATTAAATTATATTGGCCACTCTAACTTGCAACTCTCATTTGTCATTTAGCCAAAATATAAGAACACTACAGTGCAATCTATTTTGATTCACAAATGTAAAATCATGGCTTAATAAATAAAAATTAATTTTAAAGGCAAATGAATTAAGTGCTCATTTCTGTCATTATCATCTGAATTTTCTAAGATGTAGATGTTCTAGTTGCAAAAGGTTTTATTGATTTATGATGTTACTGTGTTCATAAATTAACAAGAAAAAAAATGAAGCTTTGTTAAATCTATTTTCTTGAAATTATTTTCTAAAAACAATGCCAGACATATAAATGCCATTTTCCTAACCTGTTTTTATGTGGAATTTTGCCAGAAGCATACACTTACTCTCATCTGGGATTGGATCTTGAATGGGAGTAGATGTAAAGAATAGAAAAACTCCTTTTGATTTTAACAACATGCCTCAATTTTCCAAGGTGTTTATTTACTAATGTGTATCCTGAAGTCTTTCAGATGTAATATTAACAAGGAGGTAATGAAATTGAGACTTACTTAGCAATTTCAGAGTGGCTTTTTAGCCAGTTGTAGTTAAAAAATTTCCTGAAAGAATGAATTGGGAATTGGGATCCCCCTACACATTTCTTAAATATTATTTATGGAGTTTTAAGAACTGAGCAAGTTAATGTGGACATAAAACACATTGCTTAGAAGCCAAGATCAAACATAGTTACCAGAGATTTTGCTAGTAAAATCATAGGAATTAACAGTAAAAATTTGATGGAAACGACTTCAAGATGTCTCTTATAGCTAATTAAGCTAAATTATTAATATGAATGTACAAAGCGACTGATTATTAAAACAGTTTATTGGGAAGTTACATTCTGTCCAATACTATACTGCTCATCAAGAAGCTAAGTACTGGTAAAATACCTAGAAAATTTGTCTAAAAATTTTGTTAAAAATATGGGTCACGGTCAGTAGGTTTCTCAAGGCCTGCATTTTGTTAGAGTGCCAGGAAAGACAGTAATACGTGTGAATTTGTCCTTTGTGTGCTAATTCGGTTAGCTTAAGAATAAAAACATAAAATGATTGCCCACCTGTGTGTGCAATCAGTCAGCATTATTTCTTTGATTTATAAGGCCATTGCTCTCTGACCAAGTGGCATTGCTAATGGGAAGGAATAGAATCCTCTTTCATTGCTGCTGTTCTTGTTTCCAAATAAAATGTTAAATTACATCACTGAAAATGTATAGCGGTGAAACATTGTGCTTTAATACCTAAAAATTAAGATTTATACTTGTGTCTTCTATTTCCTATAGGTAAAATAGTAAACATATGTAAAATAGTATATGTAAAAATAACATAAATATTAATACTCCATTATCAAAATACAATGTTGGAGGTGATACCTATAACTATCTTGATACATATAAATACCTTGTATTTTTTCAGTTTTCAAAGTAAAATTATTTAGAAGTAAAATTCCCTAATTTTATTTCAATTCCAGCAATTGTATACATGTATACATGTGTGTCTGTCTTCTCATATACTTTTCTAATGTGTAATGGAAAGATTTCTCACAAAATAACAAGCAGAACAAACCAATTTCATTCTGGGGCCTCCCTGGTGGCGCAAGGGGTTAAGACACAACCTATGGGGCTGTCAGCAGCCACTGCAGCACAAGTTTGATCCCCAGCCAGCGGGGGAGCCCACATGGCTCAGCAGACCTTTCCTGACTCGCCCGCCGCTCCCTTCAGCAGTGTATTTCAGTCAATCTGCCTGTTCTGTTCCTCTCTCTGTCTTTGGTGAATCCTCTTACCCTCTACACTTCTGGCCTGTACCCCAGTGCTTGTATGCATAGGTAGATAAATCTTAAAAAAAAATCTTTCATTCTTAAACTTTCCCCCCCTTTCTTAAGCATATATATTGAGCATGTTTCTATAAAAAAAATTAGGGAAGTAAGTCATACTTGAGGGCATTAAAATGCAAAAGAAGCTACTTTAGCTAATCTCATCCTTTCAGAGAGTTTACCAGAGAGCAATGACAAACCCTCCTGCCCTCCTGCTGCCCACCCCCGACAAGCCCACCTGTTCTGCAGCTGTGTCCATGCCTGCTCCCTCTGCTGAGCTCGTCCCTTTGCCATCTTCTCTCCAAGTGCTGGGCAGCACAGTCATTCTTCACCTATTTAGCTTATGAGATCCTGTGGGTTTTATGTGTTTTATGATAATAGTATAATGATAATACTTAACACTTGCACAACTTTTCATCTTCAAAGCGCATTCTGAACATTTACTAATGAATATTACATTAGTAAAACATGAGCTGTGTGTATGCTACTCCGTAATTAATCATATGACCCAAGTGGAGGCAAAATTTAAAACTCAAAACTCACTGTGACTGAGATGGTAATAGTGTCACTGGGTTTGAGGACAGTGAAACTTTATTAAGGCTTACATTTTTTGGAGATGAGCATCTGCACTTCTCACTCCCTAGAATCCACATCCAAAAATTGTGGCAGATTTCTTTATTGCTTTTTGGTGGAAGGCCAGTTGTTTTTCCAGCTCTAACTATTGAGATCTGAATGCTTCCCAACTCTTAAATCTCTTGTCACCTTCGAACTGTACATCATCCTTTCATGAATTCCTCCTTGAAATTTTTAATGCTACCCTTAAACTAGTGTTCACTAAAGAATTTTTTATGCCTTGAAATCCAAAATGTGCTGATTTTTTAATTGAAAATATGTAGATATACGCAGTAATTTTCCAAAAATTTCGGATAGTGTTCTAGTTCATAGCAGCCAATTTCGATATTAGTGTGGACACATCCTAATGTTTAGCCACCTGGAAGAAACATTTGACAGACTAGAGGCAACCAGTAAGGGAGAATGCAGTTATATGCTAAGCTAGAAGACTTCTTGGGTGACAGCATTTGTTAAAAAGACTCAACCTCTTTATGTAATCAAATAGAATCACTATGCTACTGATCCTATGTCCTTTCTTCCCAAAACATGTACAGGGGATGATAATCATAGAAATCATATTTGTATGATTTCTGCTCTGCCCTTTTTGTCAAAATACCTAGTGTGATCCTTTGCTCCTTTCACTCTCATGTGTCTCTATAAATACTACTCATTCTTTAAGGGTAGCTCAATCCTTCCTCCAAAATAGCTCAATCCTTTCTCCTTTCTCTCAAAATACATTGCTTTGTGACTTGAAGCTCATAAATTTATGGGAGATTGCATCAAAATGTACAGAGTTTGGGGGTAAATAGACCGGGGATTATAAACTTCCTGAATTGTTATAGAATGTTTTTGAAGACCAGGAAATAGTATTTTGATGCAGGATATCTTCTTTCTTTGATCAAAAATATATATTGGATAAACTATGGTACATTCAATGTACAGAGATGAAAGAAACAATCTCTCAAGTCATGCAAAGACTTGCATTTTACTATGTAACACATTTTACTATGTAAAAGAAGCCAACCTATAAAAGTCTACTTATTTTCTGATTCCAACTACATGACATTCTGAACATGGCATAACCATGGAGATAGCAAAAATACCAGTGGTTCCCAAGGGCTAGGAGAGGGGAATGGATAGGTAAAGTACAGAGGATTTTTAGGGCAGTGAATATGCTTTGTATGGTGCTATCCTGATTACTACATGTCATCATACATTTGTCCAAATTCATAGAATGTTCAAAACCAAGAGTATACTCCAAGGTAAATTATGGACTTTGGGCAATTATGACTTATCAGTGTAGGTTCATCAATCATAATAAATGTTGCAATTCAGTGAACAGTGTCAATAGTAGGGGAGACTATACATTTCTGGGAGTTAGGGAATATATGTAAAAGTTCTGTACCTTTCAGTTGTGCTGTCTACTACTCTACTCTAAAAAATAGTCTTTAAAAAAAAGTGTTGCATATCTGCTATGACTTTGGTACAATACTAATTATTATAGGATTAGAAATGGCACCCTAAGGGGCTTACAAACTCACAATGAAGGCAATTAAATAATCTGGCAATTAAAAATATCAGAATACACACTAGATGGAGCATTCATGGAACACCATGTGAACATGGAAGTGAAACCAAACACTGCTTTTGTGGGAGGGAGTTGGAAAGGAGTACTCAGAAGATGTACGATCTAACCCAAAACCTGAATATGTTTGACATTTTGTTCAAATAACTATGGCTTGCTATGTGGAAAGGAGTGGATTATGGAATTGGAAGGGAGCAGATAGAAAGTTATTTTAGTCATCCAGGTGCAAGTGCTTTGAATTAAAGCATGGAGATGAAGATACCTAAATTTAGTCAAAAGACTTGATAGGGTTTAATGAGTGATTACATGCAGGTGTGAGCACTTGGAGGCCTCAAGATCAATACTGATGAATAATTTCATGAAAGTTTTGATGAAGGCACTTATGATACCTTGGAGTATAAGAGTATACAATAAGCTATGTGGCAATGGTTATCTTCCTGCTTGTTCAACAGCTCTTTGCAAGTAGTGCTGATGAATAATTGGACATGAATCTCTTGAGATTACATGGTCTATAGTAGTCTTTAGACTTGAAATATTTTCAATTCAATATTTTAATCAACAATTTAGGAAAAATAACATTTTCACAGGAGTAGCTAATATGATAGGTCTACATCAGTATTTGAGATAATAAGTTAAATTGTGAAATCCTGGGGAAAATAATAGGTAAGAAGATACATATTTGGTATTCATATATTACATGATTTTGCACTGAACTTAAAGTATAAATACAGAATGAGGGAAATGTTTTTTAGAAGTGTAAACACCTAATCATCTAACTAATGTATGCTGCTGCTGTGTAAAAATTTCTCCAAATGCTAACCTTTATTTTTTTGGTAAGATTTATTTTATTTATGCATACAAGAGCTGGGGTATAGGCCAGAGGAGTTGCAGGAGGGTTGGGGGAAGGATTCAACAGAGACAGAGTGGAGAGCAGAACAAGCAAATTGACTGACATACACTGCTGAGGGGAGTAGCAGGTGAGACAGGAGAGGTCAGTTGTGCCATATGGGTTAGCTCCCTGGCTGAGGAGCGAACTCATGCTGCAGTGACTGCTAAGAGCTTCATAGTGCTGAGACTTAACCTTTTGTGCTACCAGGGAGACCCCCAAATGCTAACCTTTAAAAACAAGAGTGTATGTTCCTAATCACAGAAAGTAGCATTCCCACTGTTTCCCATGATTATTAGAACCTACGTGGAACATGCAATTCTGGTGCTGTAGTTTCAAAAAAATGACAGGTGAGAAGCTGAAATTATGACATGACTAGAAACCTTAGAAAGAGAGGTTAAAGAAATTAGAGAGTGTTGTCTCCATCTGATAAGACTACATAAAGTTTTAGGGACTAGAGGAGGGAAGAGACAAAGTATTAGAGTGAGAGCTGAAAGATAGGTCCTATGGCTCTTCAACTCTTCTACATCTCCCTCCACTTAGTTCTGGAGAGTAGGAATAATAAAAGTGGGGTATGTGTGAGGGGTCAGAAAGAAGAGAGGTCTTATGTTCCTCTTCACATTTGGAGTGGGAAAATGACAGCCTTGCTGAATTTCTTGAGCAATGGTGGTGCTCGAGAAATTGGGTAGAGAGACTTGACAGTGTATTGAGGAAGAGAGACACCTGAGGTGGCCTTGCCAGATTTGATGGTGCTCAAGAGTAGTGGGCAAGAATAGTCCATTCATTCTATGATTCTAGAAGTGCGCAGAAATGAGTTTGTGTGAAATTGACTGACCTGGTGGACATTGGGCCAGCAATCAGCAGCATGATCTGTTGAGTCTAAGTTGGAGACAAGATTCACATTGCCCAGAATTCTGACAGGACAATTATAAATGGGACAGTGTGCTTTGCAGGAGGTGATAGTCTGGACAGAGGATGACTGTAGGTCAGCCCATCAAATGCAAGTGCTTTGACACCGTGTAAGTCACTTAGAACATAGAGAAGGGGGAAGAATATGGTAATTTACCTAAAAAACCATCAAACTGTTTGAGAAAATCCTGAATTGACTTAATCTACCAAGTTTAAAGTGTAGAGTTGCCACCACTAAATAGAATGGGGACTTGAGAGAGAGATGTAAATAAGCAGGTTTCTTTTATGGGAGGAGGGCATGCTTGAGGGATTTTTACTATTTTTTTTTAAATTGTATTACTTTATAACACTGTATATGGTTTAGGTGTATAAGTTCATACCTCTTCAGATATCTATTACCACATCACACCCACTACCAAATTACCCATATTTTTCCACCATATACTTATTTGCCCTCTCCCTCCTCCCTCCCAACCCCACCTTCTACCTCTAGTAGTCTCAATTCTACAGTCAGATTTCTAGGTTTGTTTTGATTTAGTTTTTTTCATGTGTTGAATACAAAGAAAACAAAGGAACAGACAAAATTAAGTCACTAAATATTTAAATCAACAAATTCAAGTCTTCACGAGGCAAACATTATCATGAATAGTCTTACGTTATAGACACTTTAGTTTTTATTCCTCCCTTTTCCTCATTTACAGACTTTTTATTTGTCAATTTTTAATTTAATGTTTTTCAATTTTATTTTTAAAGTTTAAGAACAGAGCATAATGAAAAATTGTCTTTCTCGAGGCAGAAACTATCCCTTTAATTAGAGGGGTCTTTCTAATGAAAAAGCTGTTTTCTAATTTTCTTAATGTTTGGCATTGAGGAGTGTCCTGAAATATAATTATGTCTCTGTACAGGCATTTATACCTGAGATTTTATGAAACTACAAAGAAACAGCTTACACTCACCTCAAGGTATTTAGTATTGGTACAGAACGAAAGTCTTCAATTTCTCTTACATGTTACCAAAATATCAAGGATATTTTCTCATGTAATTAGTGTTTCTTGTGTGAGGTTGGAGGAAAAAGAAATGAAGCTATTGTCACTCTATTTAAAACAAGTTTGACTTTCTTCTACATAAAAAATATTTACAGAAGGGATTGTAAAAAGCTTCAGTTATAGAAGAAGAAACATTTCCTTGTTCTGATTAAGTTCTAACAAACTTAATCTAACAAACAAAATGATGCTTTCTTTTTATTTTTTACCAGGATAATATAATTAAATAGACCACAAAATCAATAGAATGATAGTTTTC